TAAAAATGTATTATCGAATACGAACAATTTTTTTTTCCATTTAATCATTAAAAATTTATTACTAGCTGCTAATTTTGAATGCTAATTATTAACGATTTTAAAGGCAATATTATATTTTCTGATTGCTATTTGAAATAAAAATGAATTTTAATTCATTTATAAAACTTTTTTCTTTGCTTTCAAAAAACAAATATATTTTTACTTTTTTACCCAAAAAAAATTTTGAAAATTAAAAAAAAAAGAAACCTAAAACCAAATTTAAGCGTAAGCTTATTATAACATTAACTAATAAACATGCATTTTTTATAAAATTCAGATATCGATATGTCTACTATTTTCCACTATCATTTCGTCTTCGTTTTTGTTTTTATTTTTTTTTTTTCAAATTTTGTGTTACTCTTCCTAACTTCCGCTCTTCATAGAACAGAAATACTAAAATGATAACATATCATTGATCAATCTACTTTTTGAAATTTGAAATGATATATGCAAAGAGATAAGAGGAGAGCAAAAAAAAAAAGGTAGGTAGGCGTTGTTGGTAGAAGTACACATTACATTCCGGAAAACTGAGGAATTGCATGATAAGCGCATTTCAACAGTGAAAGTGCAAACTGCATGTCGGATGAAAGAAGCAAATCGTGAAAAATTCTTTTAGTTACTAAGTAAAGCGAAATAATTTCTTGTTAAAATTATTTTAACAAAAAAATGAAAAAAGGAAAAAAAAAATCATTAGTTTTCCAATTTCATTCCTAACTTTTACATTCCAATATTTCAGATTTATATTTTATATTGCTTATAAAAAAAACTTTATTCATTTTTGATTTGCTATATGCTTCATTTATACTTACTTCTTTGAATCTTTTGGATTTAAAAATTTAAAAATGACGAATCAGAATGCAAAATTTGCAAATGATTTGTAAATTTGGTAGTACTTTTTTTCTTTTATTCGAACAAATTAATTATTAATCTTAAATAATTGCACTTTTCTGTCTTTTTTTTTTTTCTTCTGACTATGCTTTTTTGAAATAATAAGTATAACATATTAAATTTCTCTTTTTTTTTTTTCTTTTCACTCTCTTTCATGACCTTTTCTACATTTTTTTTTTTTTTAAAGCTATTTCTATCGTTTTTTTTTTTTATAAATGAAAGTATATATTATTTGATTGCATCCACTACTCTTTGTACATCTCATTTAATTCCGCTAATGGAATGTTTCCGTTTTTTTTCTTCAATTTTCAAAGAAAAAGAAAAAAAAAAATTTAACGATGAAAAGAAAAGCTATCATTCATCTTTTGTTTACTATTACTAGCAGTAACTTACACATTACTAGTTATTGTTATTAGTAGTAGTATAATAATTACTATCACTTTGGTTATTATAGCCATTAGCACTGTTATTATTATTATTATTATTATTATTATTATTATTATTATTATTATTATTATTATTATTATTATTACAGTAATCATCACTGTTGATCATGTCGTCAACAAACATTATTATTAATTATTGCTATTGCTAGTTGTTATCATCGTCAATATAGTAATAACAATAATAATCATTATTATCATTGGCTAGTATATCAAAATTAATCTTTGACAATAACGATTATTATTGTCTATTCATCTTATTATTTTATTATTTATTATAACTTCATTATCATACTACTAATTATTACTCATTACTAATTTCTAATATTATTATCAACTATTACCATGGTTACCATCGCTATCATTACCAATCTTACTATCGTCATTTTCGCTATTATTGTTTATTGTCATATATATTATCACAGTACTTCTTTTACTATCGTCACTAGCGTAATAACAATCATTATTATTACTATCATGATTATCAGTATTGTTATGTGATAATTGTTATCAGTGCTATGTTCATTAAATTGTTTATCGTCACCGTCACAAAAAATACGCTTTTTTTTAAAAGATAATTTCTTTTAAAAGAAATTTTTTTTCGCTTTTAATTATTTCATTTTGTCTAATAACAATTTCGTTATTATATTTGCTTTCCAAAAAAAAAGAAAATGTTTGAAAAAATTGTTAATTTCGATTTAAAATTAAAACAAAAAATTATACTTCATATTTTCCTGTGTTTTCTTGCAGAACAATAATTCTTAAATAAGATTTCGTGCTAAATAATGAAAAGAAAATCAATAGTGATAACTCTTTGATTATATGAGTACTGAATTTGAGTATTATAAATAATTGCTACTTTTTATTTCCATTCATAAGTTGATTTAACAATAAATTTGATGCTGCTAAAGATTAGTGCCAATGAGCTATTGACGGAAATATAAAAGGAAAACTTTTCTTGAATGAAAAAAAATAATAATAATAACAAATCGTAAAAAATTTTATAAATTTGAGATGCCAGCTAATAAAACCGCTAATTTCAACTTACTAATTAATTCTTGTTTCGAATTTGATATATCGATTAGTTTTATTTGATGTTCTTTCTTTTAAATTCTTTTAGAGAGAAAGAAAGCGATGTTTTTTGCTATGTAATTGCAACCTACTATCAATTTTTCAAATAATTTAACATTTTTATCATTTTCTTTTTTTTCCGCATCCGCCAGTTTTCTCCTCCTACATTTTTATTAGTTTATTAGCATTATTGCTTCTAAAATTCATTCCTTTGAATTTTGCACCTATCAATTTGAATAAAAAAAAAAAAAGTAATGGACCTCAAAAAACGAAAATTGCTTTAGATATCAACAACGCATGAAATTAAGAAAAAATTCTTAGCATTTAAGTGATGTTTTTTCTTTTTCTTTTTTTTTTTTTTTTTTTTTTTTTTGCTAATGTAAAGTCTAAGCAATTATTGCTCGATTACACATTGTGCTTCACTAATTATTATTTAAATTTTTAAATTACATCAGTTAGCAGCACAAATTATTTGTTCTACAAACTTACATTGTTTTTTTTTTTTCGTTTTGCTTCTTAATTAAATTACCATGCATCATTTAGTTAAAGCAAAAAACGAAGCTAACAGTTGTTCGAAAAAAAAAAATATGAAATAGAAAAACCGAAAGAAAACTGAAAACAGTTTTACATCCAATGAAATGGAAAATAAAAAAATTTTTGCTAACATTACAATGAAAAATATATTCTTCTTATTCTTTCTTTTTATTGTTAAAGGTTTGATACCTAAATATTTGTTTTGAATTTTTGATGCATTTGTAATTTTTTTTTTTCTATATACATCATAGTATAAGTCAATTTATAATAATTGCATACTTCAAATTTGGAATAGTCTTCGTGTTGACGAAGACTTTTCCAAATTGACAATTGAAAATGTATAGTTCTTTTTTTTCTTTTTTTTTTGATTTATTTATCGAGGATAAGAAATAATTGAATCTTAGGTAGTAGCAATTTAATATGTGAGACTTCTTTTTTCAGTTATTTTTTAAAATATATCAAATGTAACATTTGTTAATATTTGAACTTTTTTGCCTGTTCTATATTTACAGAATATTATGTTTTTAGTTGTTCCCAATCACAAATTGAAATATAGATAATGAAAAAAATAAATAAATAAACGTGAAAATTGCATTCAAAATTTCTATTAATTTTTATACCTAATATAAAAGGTACTAATTCCGTTAAATGCTATTATAATTCTCATTATTATTGTTATTATCGCTATTGTTATTGTTGTGATTAGTTGTTATTGTTGGTTTCACTATTATTATTTATTATTACTAATGCTATTATTATTGATATTACCGTCAATATTGCTATTGTTATGATCATCACTTATGATTGAGATTGTTGTTGTTACCATTATTACTATTCACACTATTCTCACATTAGGTTTGTTATTTAGTAGTCGAACAGCAAATGTATGATACTGTATGACCGCATACGATAAGCACGGATGGATAGTGGTTTATGGCTGTATACAGTAGGCACTGTATGGATAGTGGTTTATGGCTGTATACAGTAGGCACCGTATGGATAGTGGTTTATGGCTGTATACGGTAGGCACTGTATGGATAGTGGTTTATGGCTGTATACAGTAGGCACTGTATGGATAGTGGTTTATGGCTGTATACAGTAGGCACAGTATGGATAGTGGTTTCTGGCTGTATACAGTAGGCACAGTATGGATAGTGGTATATGGCTGTATACGGTAGGCACTGTATGGATAGTGATTTATGGCTGTATACAGTAGGCACTGTATGGATAGTGGTTTATGGCTGTATACAGTAGGCACCGTATGGATAGTGATATATGGCTGTATACGGTAGGCACTGTATGGATAGTGGTTTATGGCTGTATACAGTAGGCACCGTATGGATAGTGGTATATGGCTGTATACGGTAGGCACTGTATGGATAGTGATTTATGGCTGTATACAGTAGGCACTGTATGGATAGTGGTTTATGGCTGTATACAGTAGGCACTGTATGGATAGTGGTTTATGGCTGTATACAGTAGGCACAGTATGGATAGTGGTTTATGGCTGTATACAGTAGGCACAGTATGGATAGTGGTATATGGCTGTATACGGTAGGCACTGTATGGATAGTGATTTATGGCTGTATACAGTAGGCACTGTATGGATAGTGGTTTATGGCTGTATACAGTAGGCACTGTATGGATAGTGGTTTATGGCTGTATACAGTAGGCACAGTATGGATAGTGGTTTATGGCTGTATACAGTAGGCACCGTATGGATAGTGGTATATGGCTGTATACGGTAGGCACTGTATGGATAGTGGTTTATGGCTGTATACAGTAGGCACTGTATGGATAGTGGTTTACGGCTGTATACAGTAGGCCCAGTATGGATAGTGGTTAACGGCTGTATACGGTAGGCACGGTATGGATAGTGGTTTGTGACCGTATACGGTAAAACGACGCAATATTTACTGAATAGCGATTTCTAGCATTAATTTAATTTGTGGTGCAGTAATGCATTATCGGTACTTTTTGAAGTGGAATTTATTTTTCTCTTATTATTTCTTTTCAGTGAACGAAATGAAGCATAATGGCGGCGACTTAAAAGTGAAATGGAATCATCATGGCCATAAATACAAATTTATTCTTACAAAGCAAGAATTAGCTCAAGATGATGCTTTTGAAGTATGTTCATTTTCTGAAGAAAATTTTGGACAATATTAGTAATATTTGATTAAAATTTATGAAAATATAAAAATGTCAATTTAAGCATTAATTATAGATCATTTCACTCATGTAATCATCATTTTTATCTTAATCTTGTTGTTCTCTTTTGACCAGAATATGTTAGCGGATAAGCTTATAGGTTCAATTTACTTCATTCCATTTATCCTGTTATAGATTTTATTGCGAAAAATTCGTCGACAATTACCAGATTTTAACGATGTATTAGCAAGTTATGATAAACATGGTAGCGAGGTAATTGATTGATTTATTTATATTTTGTTACATTTTCAATATCACAGAATGAATTAAACCATGATTGTTTCCAATTTGATTCTCAATAAATCGTTTATTTTTTCAAATTTAAATTAAACGGATCTTGAATGCGATGCAAATATCATCATTCAATTAATCATACCAACTATTTTATTTTTTTATCCTCATATTCAGGTTTTAATAAAATTTTTCATAATTTACTATGGAATTAATTGAAATTTAAAGAGTATTGTGGCAACAGATAACGAATTTCGTCAAATAATTCGTCTCTCTAAAGGACACGTCAAAATGTATACAGTACGAAGATGTTTGTATACACATCCGTTTCGATCACATTCCATTCCACTTGTATGTTTATTTATGTAACTTTGTCATTTTTTTTAACTAATTTAATCAACTTACTCTTTTAATTAGTTTTTCAAAATGTTTATGTAATTAATATAATTGATATATGTATATTTGTGTGCTATGAATTTTCACGTTACACTAATAATTTCAAACATATCTTTCTTCTAAATTAACCAATGCAATAATTAGTTCTAAAATACACAAGTGTGAACTGTTTATTTTCAGGATATTGCTCGATTAAAACGACTATCTCTGCGATCGACTAGTTGCTTACGAGGACCACCACCATCGTATCGGGAAAGTCAAAAAGATGCAATGCTACAAATTCACAACTCATACCATACGTTACCTCATTGGGTCACACCGCTTTCTCAGGTATTTTTTAATTTAACCGAAATAAGTTAAATTTATGTTAGAAAAAACTTTTTTCTCTATGAATTTGCAACTTTTTAATATTAAACTTTCCATGTAAAGTACTGCTTGACAGTACGTTAAAGCAATACTACTTATTGTGAAAGATAATTGATAATATATCATTTCATATTGTTAATGATAATTTTATTATTAAAATTAAAAAAAAAAAATATTAAGAAAATTTAATTAGAATCAGATGAAGACAGAACAAACCAAAAAAGTGCATTTGGGAAATTCAATTTAAATATAATTTTTTAAACTGTTAAAGTATAATATCAGAATTGTAAGAAGTTGAGAACACATTGTTTATTATAATGATTGTTCAACAAAGACTATTCAGTATATAAAATATATCGTTAGAAAAAAGTCAGAAAAAAGAGGAATAATTTTTCAAGAAATTATGCACAATGCTATTCAGAAATTATTTGCATAAATGAATTAATTATTCAATACCAGAATTGTCAAGACAATAATAGTCAAGAATTTATTTAATTTTGTTATAAACCAAAAAACATTATTTATTGTATTTATATGTTGTTTGTAACAAAATATTATTTAATATGTTGTAAAATATTATTTACTGCATATTACTATTCATAATACTATTCATTATTTTGAAAAAAATTTTTTTCCTTAAAAAAAATTTGAAAACATTTGAGAAAGTAAAAAGTGTTGTTTGCTGTAGAATATCCTTTATTAATAATTAAAAACAGAATTTGATTGAAGTTAATATTTTAGATACCATCATCTAATTTTGGTTGTGCTTGCGCTCATTATGATACTGCGATTAGTACCGCTCCGAGAAATGGACGTTATGGACAATCATTAATTTATGGTTATCCACCTCAATCATTCATGATGCATAGCTTTTTATGTTCACCATTTCCATTTGGTGGACATCATCGAAGTTGGATTTGTGGATCAAAATGTTTAACTTTAAATTTAGGTGGTAAAGGTCATCGTCCAAAGTTCACCTCATGGTGAAATATGACTTTCTAAATTATTCTCTTAAAAATTACTCTTATTTTTCTTTTCAAATATTCCATATTGTTAAAACGAATCTTAATAAGTATGGAAATATGATAAGAAATTTAATATAGCAAGTTTTCTTTCCTTTTTTTGCTCATTTCGAAGAAATATTATTTGCTTATGATTTAAAAAACAGTAGCCTTTCTTATTTTTTCATTTCAAATTGCTTTCTTTTAAATCCAATTATTTTAAATCTTCTCATTCTATATTCTAAACAAAGTTTAAAATAAAAAAGTGAGATATTTAAATATTACTAATATATGGATTTGATATATTTACATCTGTATTTTTCATTTTACAAAAAATCTAAAAGCATTATTTGGTTATCAAATAAAGATTTTGAAGGAACGTTTCATCCAAAGAATTTATTCTGTCATTTTTGAGGATTATCGTTTTATCAGTCCTACTGCCAATGGTAACATTACGGAATATAATTCGATCAATTACTATGCAAACAAAAGAATGTGGAATTCCGTTGGATGCAGTAGAATTCCAAAATTATTAAAACAAGAAAAACGAAAAAAGGATAAAGATTATAGAAATGTTTTTCATCATTTATAATATTATTTCTTTATAATCTACCGTGTTCACTTTTTACAGTACCAGAAATCTACCGTATCCAGAGCGCATTTCCTGTGAAAAATTACTGTTATGAAAAACAAAAATTGAAGACAAAAAAAAGGAAAAAAGCAGCGTAATGATAGTGTTTCAATGAATTTTCACAACATATTGCCATTTAAATTTTTAATCCGTTAATCAATTTTTAAAAAACTTTATTCTCTTTACTTTGCATTACCTTCTAACCGTCGCTTTATTGATATATTTCATCAATTCAATTTAATTTCCATTTATCCAAAATCAATTTTCACTATTAAAATTGTACTATTGCTTTTTTTGATACAGATACACATATAAAATATGTTATATTTTTATACAATTGACATTATAATCTTATTATTTCAAAAAAAAAAAAAACAACAATCACTCTGCCTATTAATCAATATACCATTCCTTTGCTTTATTCACACACAACACTTGCAATATCTTCGTATAAAAAGCTTAAATTGAAATTTTATTACTTTGAAATAATGTTTGTTTTATCAGATATGAAAGTGAGCAGGTGCAGAAGAAAAAAAAAGCGAAACGATTATGAAAATTTTTTCATATTATTTAGTCCATAATCATAAATCTTTAAGCTATTTTAAGTCAATCTATCATTAATAAAAGGAAAGAAATATGAAATAAATATGAGAAAAGGGTTATAAACAAACAATTATGATTATTAATATATGAAATAAATTATTTAAAAACACAATTCGAATACGAAATATATTTGATAACCAGCCAATGTAAATTGATTAAACGTTTTATCCAAATCGAGCAACTGATTGAGATTTGCCGTTTCATCTAATTATTATTTACTGAATATTAAATAAATTTAGTTTTACGACTCGATTAGAACCAAAAAGAGAAGAAAGTCATTTTCAATTGAATATTTTAAAATATTTGAAGAAATTATTGCCAATAATATGCGATGCTTAAAATCACTGCTATTTTCTTAGCTTAGATTTTTACAAAGCACTGTTTGTAGTAATTTCCTAGCTTAAATTTTCATTTAAGCATCATTTTAAACTAATATAAATTCCAAATGTTAGATACTGTCAGATGCAGATGAAAATTATGTTACTGAGCAAAAATGGTTTTAATCTAAAAGCATTTAAATAAATTTGTATAATGTTGCATTAGCTCAATGATAATTAAATTTGTCTTATCAAAATTGTCGCAATTAAATTTAACAAATTCGTTCAAAGCAAAGTATTCATTTCGACAGTTTTTGAATAGTATGCATGTCATAGTACATAGAGCTTGCATTTATTATCAGCAAGTTCTTGGAGGAAGAAAAAAGTTTGAAAATCTTGTTATTTAAAAGAAATACATGATATATCTTTAAAACAATAAAAATTTTGAAAAATTTTCTTTGTGTATTTTAATCTGAAATTAAAAATCCAAAGTGATTTTTAAATTAATTGTTCAAGTTTTCATTGACAGAAAGCAGAAAAATATTCAAACACTGTTTAAAATGGACAAATTATTCAGCAATTATATCAATATTTAATTTTAATAAATTTTATTTCATATAAGCTGCCAGAAAAGAGAAAGAGGTTTTCTGGCAGCTTATATGAAATATATTAAAAAAAATATATATATATATTTTTTTATATATATATATATATATAAAATACATTCAATTGCTACCTCATTCTCTTTTTTTAATAACTTGGAGAGTAAATATTATTAATTTATGCTACTAAAAATGCAAATCGCGGCTTAGAAAAAGCGAAAACATTAATAAATTAAGCTAAAAATTACCACAATTTGAAATTTATTAAACTTACTGCAAATTGTAAAAGAAGAATTGAATAAAATTTATTATCGGGTTATGATCACTGGGTTAACAGAGATAATATCATTGGAGAGACAATAAAGAATGATAAGAATTATTCAAATGATAAGGAAATGATCTATTGTTAGACAAGAAAAAATACTTTTGTTTTAGTTCATCATTTATTGATATGCTATTTGTTAAATCTAAATATTCAAAAAAAAAAGTGTCTCAAAAATTTTTTTTCCTTAAAAAATAAAAGTCTGAAACATATCGGTTTATAATAATTAAAAAATAAACCTAAAATTTAATGTGAATCAATTTAATCAAAATGTTAAATGTAATTTGGAAAGTACAAAACGTAGTATTTGCAAAACTACTATCTACAAATTTTGATAAATATCGTAATTAGAGTGTAAACGAAAATTTAACATATGGAATAAATAATGAAATTAGTGGCTTGCAAAAAATGAGTCATTTTTTGAAAGCAAACAATTCGAATCAGAAAATTTTCAAATATTTATTTAATTTTGTTTGTTTTAATTTTTCCTTTATTTTCTAAAAAAGAAATATTAGCATGCTAAATTCTAATCATAACATTTTGCATATTAATATTGGTTCTAATGGCAAAAAAAAAAAAGAATTACACTTCACGCCTTTGCAATCAGATTTATATATTCCGTATTTTAAATCATTAGCGCATCTTGCAGCAAATGCAAGCAGAAAGCTCTGATTAAATATTTGTTCGCATCAATCCATGAATATTAATGATATTTTTCTTTAAATATCAATAATTAAAGAAAATCAACCATTCCTCTTTTTCCTTTTTTTCCTACTTTTCCATTCAGTGGCTTCATTATGAGGCAATTTAATAAATGATAGCAATTAATAACAATTAATATTATTTGATTAATTTAAATAAGATATAAACTGAAATGTGTAATACATCTCTTAATCAACTTCAATTTAGTAATGAAATGATTATCATCATAGCTGGTATTTAATTATTTAATCAATAACAAATAGTTTAAGTTAATTATATCAAATCTTGCAAGTTTTAAAATTGCAAAAATTTTTTATTTAATATCACTGCAGAATAAATTCATTCAGAACAATTTGTCTTCAATTCATTTCACTTTTTCTCCACATTATATTTATATCATTATTAGATGGCTGATTAAGCAAGTTACAAGAATTTAATTTCATCTGCTCATGACTGTGACAAAATACTTCAACTGAAATAAAATACTTTGAATGAAATGAGAAATTGGATTGAAATAAAAATGTTAGCTCATTAGTTTGCTAACGAAGTTGAATATAAATCAACTGAAAGAGACTGAAATTAGTATATAATATGAAACCTGAAGACTTCATGCATCATATTGCATGACTGTGCTCTATAAATTGATTAATTGAAGGAAAACGAAGTGGGATAGTAAGAAATACGGACTTATTGCCAATTACATCTACAACGATACTGTAGATTTAATACCGTATCGTTTCTAGCCTAAACTATGTTACGGGATACTGTATATTACAGAATACCTGCAATTATAAACACATACTTATCTGATGTTGCATAATTACTACAGCAAATATATTACAGATTATTTGTTATTGAAAAGCACATCTGCTCAATTTTATAGAATGTTTATTTTCATCTGTTATAGACCACAAAATATTTGGTGCATCTTCGAAACATTATAAAATGTTAATTATCATAAATTATTTATCTACATAAATATATTTTTTGAATCATAGAATGTTAGTTGCAGTAAAAAAATTTGTCTTGTTAAAATAATATTTGTAAGTAATAATCTAAAATAAACATTTTTTTTTTTTATTGAAACCTGCGTATTGATTATTCAAACATGTAACGATTTTGAGTCAAAAAATATCTAAAAAGAGCAGTATTACTCTAGCCCAAAAGTCTATCTGAATGATATATTTTATGATATGAATTGTTGTTAACAACAAAAATTTTGTGATATGAAATTGTTAAAATTGTTGTTAACAACGTCTCACCATAAAGAACAGATAAAAAGTCTGTTTTATTTCAAAAATTGGCAATGCATCAATTGCAATTTGGCAAATTACAAATTTCATTCAAAAAGAATGAAAATAAAGTGATGAGATAATAGATGGCATTAATAAATGTATAAAAAAGGGAAAAATCACAACAATTAAATAATCAATGAGTAATTTAACTATTATAATAATAAATTATTGTTCAATTTTGACTAAAAACACCAAAACTAATTCCTTGCTCCTTTTTTTTTTTTTTGATAATTTAATAAATTTTTCACTCAAAAAATAAGAATTTTGAGTACTAAAAAGATTTTCTTAAAATTTTGATATGAATATAAATGCTGTACAAAAATGTTAGCATGGCAAATTTATCTCTGTAGATTTTTTTTAATCATCTATTGATATATCATTTGTAAATTTTTGCACCCATCTATTAATACATCATAATTAATCATGAAATTAAAATCATCACTTGATATCAAAAATGAGATTTCGATTTTCCTTCGTTCATTTATCTTCCAACCGTGAATTAGTAATCTTTCTGATTTGTCCATTTCAGTCGAAATTTTCGAGTCAATAATGAAATCCATGGATTTGGTAAAACTGTAAGCATTTTATGATAAAGAAAATAAAAAATAAAGATTTATTTTTTTGAATTTCTGAGACTTTTTATGATAACAAAAATATTTTTGCTTTTGTTTCTTTTTAAATTATTAAAAAATAAGATTTCAAAAAATAAACTTACTTGATGCTGGTCTTTCGTCATTATTTTGTGCTCTTCGATTGATATCTTTGTCAAAGCTGCAATACAAATAATTAATATTTCATTAGTAGAATATATGTTTGATAATTGAAATTGTCACCAAATTTGAATTAAATGAAATTTACAAGTCAAAAAATTGCATTCCAAAAGATCTCTTTCATACTTAAGCGTCTGTTTTAAAATTTAAAATTAAAATTTTTTTTATTTTAAAATATAAATTATTAGATAAATTTGGTAGTTTACAATAGTGTTTTTATTATTAAATCTTATGAATAAGTTTGTAAAAATGCAAAATTTTGATAAAACTTTAAACTTGGTACAATTAGACTAACGGTGGATTAATAACAGCTTCATTGTTGGTTGCTCTTTTGCAAATAAAAATTTTGCCCAAGAAATGAGAGCATTGATTGCTCAGGTAAATATTCCTGGTGTGGACATAATTACCTAAGAATACGATGATAAATGGTAACCAGTACAGGTACATTGGAAATAATTTATATCTGAAAATTTTTTTTACCATATATATTTTTAAAATTTTTTAATTTTATTAGACAGAAAGATTTTTACAATTTCTTTTTTCTACATTTTATATTTTTCGTAGTATACAGTAAAAACTTATCGTTCACTTTTTTTTTTTTTAAAAAAAAAAAAAAAAAAAAAAAAAACATTAACATTAAAATTAAATTAATTCATTAAATGATTTGTATAGTATTTTAATGAAAAAAAAAAGACTAATATAAGTTAATTAATGAATTAGTTTAGGAGTTAACTTAAATCATTACTGATTAACTATTGAATGATTAAATTGATGAAAAGAAAGAGAAAAGAAAAAACTGCTAGGATGAAAAACTGAAATTGATATTTAATAAATAACTCTTCAAGATGATGCCTTATGAATAAAATGTTGAGTGAAATGCCGTTTTCTTTTTCTCAGTGGAAAGAAATATTTATAGTTTGAACTAATTAGTTTTCTCGTTAAATTTTTAAAGAGAATATTCGATTTCAGTAATTATCAAGGCGAATTTTTTACTTTTTAAAAATTTATATCATATATAGTAGAAAATCCATAAGTATTATAATATAAGCAAAAAAAAAAAAAGAAATAGCTCCCACGGATGTATTTCAAAAATAAAAAAATACATATTCAAAATGAGAAATACAATAGATTACTGAGTGAGTAATTTTATTCCTATATTTAAGTTATTTAGTTCAAAATGTAACAGTCGTCGAGAAATTAATCAAAATGAAAAGACTGTTTAGAAGATATTTTTTTTTTTTTTTTAAAAAAAAAAAGACTAAAATTTGCTGAATGCATTCAAATGGAAAAAGTAAAATATATTCGGAGCGAATAATAAAGTATTACTGTTTTAAAGAATTTTATATACTTATATTGAAGATAAATACAGTATTGTTAAAATGATGATAATTTCGTATTTATATTTAAATGTTTTGAATGGTTTAATTTAAATTATATAGTTGAAAATATTGATGAAAACAATGTGTCAAAAATGAATATTTAAAAAAAAAAAAAGGAAAAAATAGGATAAAACATATTTGAAATACAAGAATAATTTTATATTCACACTTAAATATTTTAAATTATTTAATTAAAAATACATTATAGAGAGTATTAAAAATAAAAAAAAAACGGATTTTATGAAAATTAAATACAATAATTTATAAAAAATCATTTATATTTCTTTTTTGAGTTTTTTTTTGATTTTTTTTTTGCAATTAAATATAATTAAAGTTATTCCATTTTTTTTATTTTTCAACAAATTGCTATATTTCATGATGGCAATAATTCTTAAAATGTAATATTGCATAGTTTTTCATCGTTTTTTCGAAATTAATAGTAAAAAGTAATTAAGAAAAAAAAGTTAAATATAATATTGAAAATAATATAATTATATCATAAATATGGAAAAATTCAGCAAATTGCTGATTTTTTCTAAAAAAAAAAAAGGAAATTTATTACAATTACACTATAAGATGCATCAAATACTGATATTCCTTTATCAGTTCGTTTATCATTTTCATCTTTCTAACATTGATTTAAAAAATTTTCTCATAACCACTTGAATACATTACTTATTATTCAAGAATTAAAATACGATGAAATGTAATAATTTAATTTGTTCTATTAAAGTATAAAATATATCAAAAATTTAAATTTAATACAAATCTATTTAATATTTCATATATGTTAGCGCTAATGAGCCAATGTATAAAATGAGAAAAAAGCCTAAAATAGAGCCCAGTTATGCTTTCCTATTTTAGTCTAATTATTCCATTCAAATAATATCATACAAATGAGAAAGCAAAAAAAAAAAAAAAAAAAAAAAGTGAAAAGAAGTGATAAATGACATTTCGATATTTTTAATAATTAAAAGTAAAACGATATATGTGTAATTTATACTTATATTTTAATATTCGCATTTAAAATATTATATTAAAATAAAATATTATTCCAAAAATCGTTTGCATTTAATCTAATTTAATTTATTTTTAATTCATATATTTAATTTACGTTTAACTTAATTAAATTAATGTATTTTCATTACGTTAACTTAAGCATATGTGTAATTTGTGTTTATATATAAATATATTTGCACTTGAAATATAGCATCAGAACAAGAAATTAAAACAAAAAATTTAATTTATATTAAAACATTTTATGTTAAATATAAGTTTACGTATTTTTAGTTTTATTTGTACTTCTGTATTTCACGTTTTAGCACGTTCTTGTAAGCAAGCTTACATATATTTGTATTTCCACATGTTATTTATACTTTGTAATATGGCATCAAGTACGATATTATGGCATGAAAAGGCTTTACGTTTAATTTACGCTTACGTATATTTACGCCTCATATATATTTATACTTGAAATATAGCATCAAATAAGACATTGAAGTAAAAAAAAGAAAATTATATTTGTGTATTTTACGTTTTGTTTATATTTTCTGTTTACGATATACACGTATAATTGAAGTATTCTATTAAGTATAAAATATATTACGGACGTCTAATTTATTTATGTTCAATTACACATATACACGTGGAATAAAGTATTAAGTTAGAAAACTTCACACTTAATTTCTACGTATATACGTACGTATATGTATAAATGTAATTAGGAATGAAATGTTAAGATGAAAATTAAATATTTAGTATACATATAAACGTAATATGTAATGTAAAATGGAATATTCAACAAAAAGATCTACCTGTATTGTATACTTACGTATACATATTACGTACGTTAACATATAATATGTAAAGTGTAAAAAAAAAAAAAAAAAAAACATAAAATTTTCAACAAATTTTTTCAATTTTTGTACGTGAAAGATAAATTAGAATCCAATTGCTTATTTTTCATTCTTATATATTTGCATTTAGCATTTAGTTTTTCCTTTTTCCTTTCATTCCTTTTTTTTTTTTTCTTTTTTTTAAAAAAAAAAACTGAAAAAAATTTAAAGTAGAAAAGCTATTAAAAGTCAATGTATTGATTCGATAAAATTATGCAAAATTACGACCACATGGGAATGATTTGTCAACGTTTTATAATTTGTCACAGACAAAAAAGTTAGTATTTGCTTTTGATGTAAAAATTTTTCTTTTTTTTTTTTTTTTTTGATTGTTTTTTCATTCATTTTTTTTTTTTGCTTTTACTTTTTTCTTTTGTTCGAAATAATTATTTCAATTTTGTTTCATTTTTGAAAATTTAATTCATCAAATTGTTCATTTTTCGTTTCTTTTTTTTTTTTTTTTTGCATTGAATGTATTATTCTGTTGAATACTTCCTAATAAGAACAGAACAAAAATATTGAATTAATTATTTTGAAGTTAAATTATTTGTTTACTGATCATATTTGATTATGTTTTCAAATTTTAAATAATTTTCATTACTTAAGTAATATATTATGTTGCATTTTTCAAGGTAAATTTCAGTATGCTTAACGGATGTAATTAAATGTGGAATACTTTTAATTAGTATCTGTTAAAATCTGCTATCTAATATAGTTAAAATTTGTATTCGTTTAATTTTTTAAGTATAGTTCATTTTAAATTCAACTACTAATAGGTAAAATGAAGCATGTTGAAATGCTAATTTTGAACTATACCACCTGAAATTGTTCATTTTAAATATACAAAAATGTGTTATCTGATATTTTTAAATTTAGAAATATTGGCCAATAAAATTAAATTCAAGTGTGCTACCCAATATAATTTCATTTTAAGTATATTTAAGCATTTTAAGTATTTGAGTATTTAGTGTTACATTTAATTTAATCAAATTTAACTACAATATTCGGTAAAATTTTAACTTTCAGCTGAATACGATATTCGATATAATTTTAATATAGGTCATTCGATGCAATCAATATTTGAATTTTTTCGTTCAACAAAATCTTTACAAAATTATTTCGTAAATTTATTAAAAAAGTTTTTTGTTTCCTTTTTATACGCATCAATGCTTTGATTTTAAATTTGTTGAATTAAATTTACAAACGATATTTCAATTTCAATTCTCAAAAGGAGAAAAAGGTAAAAGAGAGAAAGAGAAAAAGAAAGAGGAAGAAAGGTTGAAAAGATGCGCATATCTAAGCTAATTTTAAATGTTAATTAAAATTATGTAGTAAAAACTAATTTCATGCATAATTCATTTTAACAAAAAAATGTGACATTTCTTTTTCTACTTTCTAAACATTTTATCAATTTCATTTCATTGCTGCATTATTTCAAATACAAAAAAAAAAAAAAAAAAAAAAGAGAAAGAAAAGAAAAAAAGAAACAAAAAAAGATTGCATAAAAATTTATTTTAAATATTTTTTTTTTTTTTCATTCTTCCTAATAAAAAAAGAAAAAAATGATAAAAAGCAAAAATATAATTCAAATGCAATTTTCAACTGTGAATTTGAATTTCATCTAAAATTTAAAAAATTTTGCATAAAAAAGAGCTTTTGAAGTAGAAAAGAAAAATGCGAATATTTATTAGCAATTGAAATCGAATTAATTTGAAACTATTAATTAAAATGAATTAATGAAGCGATAACAGGAATGTTTCATGCACTAATTTATTCCTTGCATAATTAATTAATTGATCAGGTATTCCGGATAGAAATATAAAAAATGTTTCAAATGATTGCAAATGATCATTGCAAGTAATTAATATTATTTTTCTCTATATCTGTTGCATATCAATTTAAAAGATTAATTAAAATTAATGATTAAAATATATTGAAATCGCATATACATTCACAAACATCAATCGAACATTTATTGCAATTCTTTTTTCCAAAATGAAAATAAAAACAACAAAAATGTTGCAAAAAATCATTGAGTAAAACAAGCTAAATCAGCAAATTATAAAAACAAAGAATTAAATACTTAATAAATGAATAACCACAATTACTTATTTCAATTTTCAAAAAGAAACAGTTTATAAAAAATGATAGTATATGATCGTTGCAATTTGCA